CCCATTTTACAGGTGAAAAAATGAAAATTCAAAAAATCTAGGTAACTTGCCTCAAATCTTACTACAACAATATGGTGTGGTAAGAGGATGTGGGTTCTTTCTTGTGCAATTGTAATCTTCTTCCCCCAAAACATATCAGAATGTGAAGATGTTTGCAAAGTAAAAATGTTCACAAACCATGTGACTTAGCAGAAGGGTTACAGGGTTCCTTTACGTTTTATTTTCCCAAGAGTTCATTGCATCTAACAGAAAGATCAACTAAAATATGAAGTCACTGCTGATTAATAATCAGAAACGAAGACATAGCAAATATGAAATTCTAACTGTGTAAGTGTTGAAAAACCCATTCTCAAGCACCATGAGTGTGAGGACCAGTTGGTAAAACCTTTTTGGTTGGCAATATCTTTCTAAATTTTAAATGCTTGTGCCTTTTGACCTAGGAAGTCTACTTTTAGGGTGTATCGCCTTTAAGATGTGGAAAAAAATATGCCCACATAAGAATATTTATTGTAGCGTTTAATGTAGTAATAAAGGAGTAGAAAACTTAAGTGCCCGTTGATTTGGGTTTAGTTAGGTAAACTATGGTACCCACACAATGGAATACTAGGGGCCACTTAAAAGAGTCAGGTACAGCAATATGTGCTGATATAGAATGTCTTCAATATATGTAACTATGCAAAGAAAGCCAGGAGCACAATAGGATATGCTCTAGGCTACAATTTTTATGAAACAATGATGAGCTGTCTCTCTTTATGTGTGTATGTGTGCATATGCTGCTTGCTTGTTAATATGGAAAGAGGAGAATTCAAGGAAGGAGAAAGAATTGTTTTCTACATCTATCATTTTGGTTTATTTGATTTTTACTCCATGTGTATTTCTCATATTTATTGCCAAAAATATCCTTTATAAAGGGGTGTTTTGTGTGTGTGTGTGTGGCAGGTCTTAGATGTTTTGTTTTCCAAGCCAGAAAACTATAATACTCGATGGTTCAGTTCAATAAGGAGCAAGTGACAACTCCTGCACACAGTAACTGATTTTGAACCTTGCAATATAAGCAACATGAAAGAAATCACGGGCCAAGAACAAGGGGGCAGAGGAGGGTAGAACAGAACACAGCGAGGTCCCGAGACTGTGGAAATGTTTCCAGAGGCAAAACCAGTGTTTCTTGGTTGTTTGTTACTTTGTTCAACAAGTATTCATGGACCTTAAGTTGAGTTCTAGGGTACTAAGAGAACAAACTTCAGTTGCTGCCAACCTAGCCCTGAGCAAACTCCTGGTCTTATGAGGAGAAGACACCTAGAAGAAATTCTCAGAGTGTGGCTTCCTGGGCTGGGTGGTCCACATCAGAGCCTCTGAGATCTGTACTGTCCCAGTGGGTCTACTGGCAACTAGGTTGTTCAACTAGGAGAGTGTATGACTTGGATATCTAACCCAGTTTGGGAGCTAAATGGGGTCAGGAAAGTCTTCCTGAGGAAGTAGCACTGAAGCTGAGAGATAAAGGAGTTAGCAGGGTGGGGGCATGGCATCTGTGCAGGCCCAGAGACAGCAGAGAGCTTGGGCTGCCTGGGGACAGAGAGAAGGTCAGCAGGCCAGGAGCGTCACAGGGACTGGGGACAGAGTTGTCGGTGGAGGCTGGAGAAGCCAACAGGGGCCAACATGCTGTTCCCTGTGTCCAGAGCAAGGCGAAGGTGAGGGAATCCGAGTTATGTTTTAGAAGTTATGACTTTAAAAACGATTCCTTGGCTGGGCCCTAGCACTCTGGGAGGCCAAGGGAGGAGGATTGCTTGAGCTTGAGAGTTTGAGGCCTGCCTAAGCAAAACGAGACCCCGTCTTTACCAAAATTAGAAAAAATTAACCAGGCATGGTGGCATGCACCTGTAGTCCCAGTTGCTCAGGAGGCCAGGACGGGAGGATTGCTGGAGCCCAGGAGTTTGAGGTTCCAATGAGTTATCATGATGCCACTGCACTGTACCCAGGGCAACAGAGCGAGATCATGTCACAAACAAACAAACAACAAAATGACAACAACAACAACAGCAGCAAATAATGGTGCCTTGAAAAAAACCCACCAGCCTGGCTATAGTGCAGAGAATGGATGGAAGAAGTTGGGGAGAGGGGATTTGGGGAGAATGATTGGGAAGCTCTTTCTAGGTGGGAAAGAGGGTAGAGGACTGTCTCTTGGACTAAGCTGGTGGTTGTGGAGATGAAGAAAAGGGATATTTAATGAATAATTTGCAGGCAATAGGAATCAGCTTCCATGTGGCTGTGTGGGATGAGGGAGAAGGAAGAGTCAAAGAAGACTTGCAAGTTTCTAGCTTGAGAAACTGAAGCAGGGGGTTGGCGGGGGCGGTGCAGATGTTGGCTCTTTTTACTGAAATGCAAAACATCAAAAAAGGAGCCGATCTGTTTGAAGGAGAAAGATGAACAGTTCAGTCTGAGACAGAGTGAGTCCTTTCACCCTTTTGTTTAAGCAGCGGGGAGTGTCTGGGCAAAAGAACACAACCTGCTAATTTTAAATTCCTGTCCCCTTGATGACACGCTGAGAGTTCTCCTTCGTTTCCCCAGTGCCTTCTCTGTCTGGTCTCCTTTCAGGTCTACCAGTGTCCACCTACTCTCAGAAGATGGCCCTTCTTCTCATTTCACTGAGAAGCTATCAGAAGAGACTCTCTGTATGTCAACATCACCACTAACCTCCCAACCCTGAAAGCTGTATTTTCTGCCTTTCATCTGTGAGGCTGCAGAGCTTCTACCCACGCCCTCACCTGTGCCTGGGATGCTGCTCACCTACACATGAACTTTTTGCTCCAGCAATTTCCGCATCTCCTGCATTGCCAATTGTTGCCTGCCTGCTGAGTCATCCCAGCATCCTACACACACAGTGTGACAGGTTTCGTCTCCAACCAAGATTCTCTCCTGACCCCCCAGCGTCTTCTAGCTATGGTCTTACTTCTCTATTCCTTTTGTCATAAAAACTCTTCACACACACAAACACACACACACACACACACACACACACACACACACACACACACACTGTCTGATACCACATTCTCTTTTCACATACTCTATTGAACCTACTCTGCCTAGGCTCTGTCCTCCTTGTCCCTCCAAAACGATTCACCAATAGATTCTAAGTTACCCTTCCTCTTGTGTTGGGGTCACCCTTCCCAGTTTTCCTTGTTGGAGCCCCCTGGTCTTTCTGACCTCTACTACAAAGACAATCCATAGTTGAATCTCTGCAACTCTTTTCATCTGTTTCTGCGCATATTCTCTATGTGATCCTGCTTATATTTCTGGCTTTAAAAACTATCTGCATGCTAAAGCCTCCCTGATTAATATCTTCAGCACTGATCCCTTGCCTAAACTCCAAGATGTTTATATCCAATTGGCTACTAGGTGTCTGCTCTTGAGGGTCTAACAGGCATCTCAAATTTAATACATCCAAAGCCAAACTCTTGATTCATGTCCTTCACCCAAGACCAAATCTACTTTACCTGCAGTTTTCCTGTCACCATAGATTGCAAGGCTGTACTTTCTTTGGTCAGTTACACGGATCAAAAATCCTGGAGTCATCTTTGACTCATCTCTTTCTTGTATATCCCCATCCAATTCATCAGCAAGCCCTGTTGCCACTACCTTCAAACTATAATCAGAAACCCACCTTTTCTTTCCTTTGCTACCTTTATTACCTACCACTCTCTTGGTCAAAGTCATCATAACTAGTCTCCATCTTTCCATTCTTATCTTCCTACAATTTATTCTCAATTCTAAAGATAGATTGAGCCTTTGAAATGTCATGTCAGATAAAGTCACTTAGTGATCTTGAATGGGTTAAAAATAAAATGGACAGTCCAAAAAAGTCCTGATCCTGTTCTACAGAATCTTAGATGACTTGGCCTCCTGCTGCCTTCTGAACTTCTCATCTTTCTCCCTCAACCTTCTAGTCTAGCTGAATGGCCTCCCTGCTGTTCCTGGAGCAGGCCAAGGGCTTTTCTGCCCCAAAGCCTTTGCACCTGCTATTTCCTTTGCCTGGAAAATGTTTGCCCCAAGGGAGTCCTGTGGTTTGATCCCTCACATTACTTAGGTCTCTGCTCAAATGGCACAGATGTTCTCTTGAGAAAGGAGGGGCAGGAAAAGCCACTCTATTATTTATTGATGTCCCAGTTAGAGTGCAATATCACTGTATTTCAGACACTGTTTCAAATACATTCCAAGAATTATAAAATTGTATCTCCTCAACAGTCCCACAGAGCTGGTAGTAATAATTTACATTTACTGAGTGCTTACCATGTGCCAGTCATTGTGTTAAACACATTGTAAATATTAACTCAATCCTCATAATAGCTCCATGAAGTAGGTACTGCCACTATCCCCGCTGTACATCTGAAGCACAGAGAGGGTAAGTAACTTGGCCTATTTCACACAGCCAGAGCTGGGTTTGAACCTAGAGCTCAACAGTGGCCACTAGCTTAGGATGCCACTTGAGAGAAGGAGTCAGACTTAAGTTGAGCCTTTAAAGGTGGTGGGCATTTGTTAAAACTAAGAAGTGGATGTAGGGCATTCCTTTCCAGAGAGAAGGCATTGTGTGCACACAGGTCTAGAAGTGGGCGTTCAGCCTTCACGCTTTCCAGAAAGCAAGTGTGGCCGAGGTGTGAAGTGCACAGTTGATAAAGGGAATGGTGTCTGCCATTTGGTTGATAAAGGGAGCGGTGTCTGTCATTTGGGGATCTACAGAGGGTTAAGGTGGCTGTTTCTCCCTGGAGATGCAGAGTCTGGGTCCCTCTCCACAGGAGTCTGGAAGAGAGCGGCTGTAGCAGTTGGTGAAGTCTTTTAAGTCCTTTAAGCCCTTATTGGTCCAGCTGACCACGATCACAGCACTGTGAGGCAGGGAGTTGGGGGTGGGAAGGGAAACGGAGAACAGGCAAGTGAAAGAAAAGGGGGAGGTGCAGTTTCAGAACCAGGCGAGCGCTCTCTTCCTGCCTAGACTCCGACGACCTCTCCTTCAACTTCGCTGGGTGGACCCCGCATTGGGCCCTATGGCTGACGAACCCTGCTGCCGGATCTCTAAGAAAGTCCAGATCTGTCTTGCATTCGGGCTCCTGGTGGCTGTCGCCGTGGTGGGAGTCCTGATGTGGCTCCACCTGTACAAGTGGAACGGGCAAGGGACCACAGAGCACTTTGCTGACATCATCCTGGGGCGATGCTCCAACTACACTCGAATCGTGCAGCCCGCGCTGAGGTGAGTTGGCACACGAGGCGCACAGCTGGGCGGACAGGCAGGGCACGGCTGGGCACTCCTCGCGGTGGCGCACAGCCGGGCACCGCGCGGGGGAGCCGTCTGCATTTCCCAAGACAAAGCATCTTCTATCGTGGATCAGCTGGAGAGCGCGCCAGGCAGTGCTGAGCAGGGAGTCCGGGACTCACGGTTGCGGTTCCGCGCGCCACTCGCAGGAGCTGCTGGCGTTGGCACCAGCGTGCGGCGGAGGGCGCTCTGCTCGCTGGCCCTCCCGGCTCAGGGGGGATCACTTGGCAGAGACGCCCGCCTTCTGGGCAAGGTGCCCGGAGCCCAGCCCCTTGCCGTGCCGCGGCCCAGCCTCGGTGCTCACAGCCCCTCTGCAGGGACAGAAAATAACTAAAGACGCAGGGTAGGGTGGGCTGAGGTGTTGACATTTTCAACTTTGCAAGGAGTTTCAGTCCCCTGGTGTGCAGCTTGCAAAATCTGCGGTGAGGGAAGAGGGAGTAGAAGAGCCAAGCTACAGAAATCAGTTTCATTCATTTATATAAAACAGCACGCCGATTCTTCTGCGTTCCCTGAAATACAAGTGACCAGAGAAATCATTAACAAAACAAACAATATCAACTTTTAAAATTGAGGTATTATTTAAACGGTAAGATGCATTCAGCTCGGTGAATCTGTACAGACCCCAGAAAACACTGACCCCGTAAAGTCTATGCAACCTTTTTTATTATTATTATTATTTTTAAAGTTTTTTTTTTTCAGGATATTGGGGGGTACAGAAATTTAGGTTACGTATGTTGCCCTTACCGCCCTCCCCACCACGTTGGAGTTTCGAGTGCGTCTGTCCCTCCAATGGTGCGCATCGCACTCTTTCTGTATGCATATACCAGTCCCCTCCTCCTCCCTCCCCCCTCCTCCCTGCCCGACATCCAGTAGATGTTATTCTTATATGTGCACTTATGTGTTGATCGGTTAATACCAGTTTGATGGTGAGTACATGTGGTGCTTGTCTTTCCATTCTTGGGATACCTCACTTAGTAGAATGCGTTCCAGCTCCATCCAGGAGAATACAAGAGATGTTACATCATCATTGTTTCTTATAGCTGAATAGTACTCCATGGTATACACATACCACATTTTACTAATCCACTCATGTATTGATGGACACTTGGGTTGTTTCCACATCTTTGCAATTGTGAATTGTGCTGCTATAAACATTCGGGCGCAGGTGTCTTTTATATAGAGTGTCATTTGTTCTTTTGGGTAGATGCCCAGTAATGGGATTGCTGGGTCAAATGGTAGTTCTACTTGTAGCTCTTTAAGGTATCTCCTAATTGCTTTCCACAGAGGTTGCACTAGTTTGCAGTCCCACCAGCAGTGTATGAGTGTTCCTAACTCTCCGCATCCACGCCAACATTTATTGCTTTGGGAGTTTTTGATAAAGGCCAGTCTCACTGGAGATAAGTGATATCTCATTGTGGTTTTGATTTGCATTTCCCTGATGATTAGAGATGTTGAGCATTTTTTCATATGTTTTTTGGCCATTATTCTGTCTTCTTTTGAAAAGTTTCTGTTCACGTCCTTTGCCCACTTTTTGATAGAGTTGTTTGATTTTTTCTTGTTGATTTTCCTGAGTTCTAAGTAGATTCTAGTTATCAGCCCTTTATCGGATTTGTAGCATGCAAAAATTTTCTCCCATTCTGTAGGTTGTCTGTTTGCTCTTGTGATCGTTTCTTTGGTTGTGCAGATGCAACCTTTCTATATTCCTTCCCAGCTACTAATCTCCCCCAAGGGAAACTTCTTTTTTGAATTATATTCCCAGGGCTTGGTTTTACCCTTAGAATTCATTTTTATTGTACATAAAGCAGATCAAGGTGGGAAGTCATTGGAGGGGGTGGGATGTGGGGAGAGGGAAGCTGAGAATTAAGGTTCTGCGCTTGAGATTGCAAAATCTTGCATTCCAAACACCCCCAATCCCAGATGAGCGAAAAGACCTCCCTCACCTCCCCACACAAGTTCAGTGGTTCTGGTTGCAAATTGTTAATGTCCAGTGATTCCCGGGGACTCTATTTGTTTTGTTTACAGATAATTAAATACTTAATGGAAAAGAAAAACTAGAAATTGAGGCTGCACTTTAAAGTATCAATTAAATCAAGTGAAATCCAATCTGAAATGGTAATGATAAAAAAAAATCTCATTTTTATTTTCGTCTTAATTTAAAAGTTAAAAAAAATTTTTTTGGTTGTTTTTCAATCATCTTTGGTAAATTCACACTGTCGGTTAGATCAGCACATCCATAAAGCAAGGAAGATGCAGCACAGAAACTACGTGGCTTTTTGTGTTTGTCAGGATGCATGCTCAGTACTAAACACACGTATGATATACATATGCATACATACATTTGTCCAACATACACGTGTATGTATACATAGTCGACAAAATATTAGTAAATTGATATTTATTTAAATCATAATTCAGTTAAAAATTAACATGATGTAGCCTGTTAATATTTGAACATCCCTCCACACATCTCACACTGTATACACACATATGCACACACACAGAGGCATGTTTTATATAAATGAGTTAGTAATAATATGGTGCTTACTATGTGCCAGGCACTGAACAAATATCAAATCATTTAGTCCTTTAACAACCATGTGGGATGCTTACTATTGGTATCCCCATTTTACAGATAAGCAGAGGTAGAGAGTTGAGTGAATTGTCCAAAATTTGGCTCCAGAAACTAAAGTCTTAGCCACTAAACTACCCTGCCTAGGTGTGCTCTATGTCTGTAGGTAGAATGACTATAAAATTTATTGATCAAGTCTATAGACTTTTGACATAGAAAGGATAATAACAGAAAATGCTATTAATAAGTATGCTGAGTCAATAGGCTTAAACCAGAACATATGGTCACCATATCCTTGGGTGCTTTAGGAGCATGAACTCTGGAATCACACTGCTTGGGTTTAAGCCTTGGCTCTGTCACAGTGTGACCTTGGGACAGTTACTTCATTTCTCTGTGCCTCAGTGTTCTCAACTGTAAAATGGAAGTATTAAAGGTAATTCTTAGCACATAGGGAAATTATCAGGATTAAGAGGAATAATCTTGTCATGTAAGAACTTCTTTTTTTGGAAATCAGCATCACAGACGCCTTCACACAATAATAAATATAGATCCAGGGCAACCATTTAAAATGGGTGCCTACTGTTATTTATTTAAATCATAATGCAATAAATCAGTCCTCCAGTGGTAAGATTTATGCTGTCTCTAATTTTTTACTATTATTCGTTTTCTAATTTAACACTTGATCTTGGGGATTTTTAAATGTCAGTACATATAGATCTATCTCATCCCTATTAACAGCTCATAGTATTCCATAGAGTAGATGTAATCATTTTCTATTCATAGGAAATGAGTTTGTTTCCAATTTTTCAATCCCATTCATTCATTCAGCAATTATGTGTGGAGCATCTACTATGTTCCAGGCAGCAATCTAGCCACAGGAGTGAATGGCAAACTTCCCACTCTCCAAAGCTTTCATCCTAGTTGGGAGAAACATGATGTAATGCACATCTTCATACATATACTTTTGCGTACATATGGGAGTGTTTTTGTAGGATAGACTTCCCTTGGTGGAATTTCTGGGTCCAAGAGAGAATTACGCATATTATAAGTTTCAATTTTTCCAAATTCCAAGTATTTCCAAATTCCTTCCAAATTATTAGAGCTGTGTCATTTTTCTCTCCCATCATCCCTCTATCAGAGGGCATGCTTTCCCACAGTCTCTTCATTGCTGAATATTTTCAACTTTTTTAGTTATAAGAAAAATAGCATCTAATTGTTCTCTGATTATCAGTGAGTCTGAGCATATTGAATGTGTTTATTGGCCATTTATATTTTTTCTATGATTTTCCTAATCATAAGTATCCTTGATCATTTCTATTGAGTTGCTTATTTATTTCTTTTTATGGGAGTTCTTTATATGTTTTAGGTAATATTCACACACATGCACAGTAAAAGTCATTAGTACAAAATGTACAAAATAGCAAATTTAGACAAACACTCTGTAAAGACTTAACTAAATGCCTGGTTCCAGGGCTAATCATGGGGCTTCACAGAGGAAGAAAATACAAGTCTTGAGCTCCAGGGTCCTGTGGCAGGAGGTGGGGAGAGGACAAGAGCAATGTAGGACCTTTGATCTGTAGCGACAGAGATTTATACACAGCCATGAGGTCCACTGAAGAGGGAGCCATTGCTTCCGCACTGCCAGCCTTGCACTAGGTTCTGAGGGGTGTGTAAGATGTACCCAGGTACCTATCAAACAAGAAAGAGATGTGAATTGCTGAATATGTGAGCCAAGTGTCAACACAATGCCACATAGTTGCAGGTGTGGACATCACCTCCCTGGTGGGGCAGAGGCAGGAAGGAAGGACTTCATGAAAGAAGTAGCATTTGAGGTCTTCCTTTTAAGATAGAATTTCAACAAGGTGATGCTCTGAACAGTGTGTGCTACCCTGTTGAGAGAAGTCCCGAGGACAGATAAGACGCTACTGTGAGGGAAAATGGACCAATTGATTGACTAAATCTCTTTAAAGGTTTTAAGACCTTGAGAGGATCCCACTGGTGAGAGGGTCTAGACCTCATGTTGGCCTGTCCACAACCTGGACCTTCTGTGTATTATTATTACTAAGCAAATGTCTACTGGGTGATGTAAGTTTTCTTTATGGTGTTTTTGGTCCTTAGGGTACAGAATACATCCCACTAGTGATGCATAGTCAATATACTGTGTACTCATGTCTGACACCTTGATTAAAGGATCATTCAGGCATTGAGATAGATGGCAGCAGGACAAGGGCATAATGAGCCTGGAAGCCATTTGGAGGTTCTTGTAGTAATTCAGATGAGAGATGGCTGTGGCTTGGCTAGCGATTGATGGATGGTGGTAAGAAGTGGATAGATTCTGGATAGGTCTTGAAAGTAGATTCCATATGAT